TGTTCTGGAACGCCAATCACTCACAAATGTTTCCTTTTGATTTTATCCCACATAACTCTCAGGGTCTCTTCATTGTTCTTTGTTCTTTTTTCTGAATTTTCCTCAAGCAGAGTTGTATCCAAGTGTTTGTCTTCAATTCCACTGATCCTGTCTTCTACCATTTCAAATCTGCTTCTCAGCCCTTCTATAACACCGTCCATTTCTGAAATCTTGTTTATCTTTTGGATTTCTAATTGTTGTCTTTGTATAATTTCTAGTTGTGAATTTATTTTGGAATTTGGTTCCTGCATTATTTTCCTGAATTCTTCCAATTTTTTTGTCTGTATTTTCCATGAGTTTGTCTATTTTTTCCTCATTTGTGTCTGATTTTTGCTTCAGCTCTTGGAGAATTCTGAGTATTAGAGATTTGAATTCCCTATTAGGTAGTTCTAGTGCCTTTTCTTCCACTGGAAAGTCATCTGGTGTTTTATTTTGGACGCCTCCTGAAACCATCCTGTCCTGTTTTTCTAAATGTTCTGACACTGTCTGCTGTCTTCGGGGCATTCAGTAGTTATTTTTCTCGTTTCCTGATTATAGGTTTGTTTGTTTCGTCCCTTTTTTTTTAATTTGGCTATGTCTGAGCAGGCGGGCTGTGTGCTCTTTGTTGTTTGCTCATGTGTGGGCACAATTCTTTTTGCCTCCTTCTCCAATTGGCAAGAGCAGTCACTCAGATATGGTATAGCAGGGCAGGTCTAGCTGAAGAGGAGTTACTGGGATGGGTTGTTTGTGGTACTTACTACAGCCACCAGAGCGGGTCAGTAATCAGTGGACAGGTTCCAGTAGGTCGTGCCTGTGCTGCTTGTGTGGTGAGATGTTAAGCGCACGGTGCAGGTAGGCAGGTTGTAGTGGGGAGATTGTTATGTGTGGAGCTAAGATGGATATGGGAGACAGGAGAGAGGAAAAGGAGCCAAAAACATACAAACAAACCAAAAAGAATGCTAGGGGAGCTTGCCGTTGGAGTGGAGAGATGAGAGAATATGCAATGGAAAAAAACAAAAAGGGGAAGAGGAAGAAAAATAAACAAGAATGAATAAATAAAAATCGGAAAGGTTAAAGAACAGCAAAGTTCTCAGGGATCCCACCGGTGCGGGTATGAGGTCTGGGGAAGTTGTTCTCAGGTGTTGCAGTACAGCCTGGCTAGAAGGCGTAGAGGCATACAACACCAGCTATTCAGGGAACAGAAAGAGAAGGAAGATATACAGAGATGAGAAACTGGGTAATGAAGAAAGACAAAAAGGGAAAAATAGGGAAAAGAAATCAAAACAAATTTAAAAGAAAACAAACAAACAAGAAAGGCTCCCAAAAAAACAGAAAGAAAAAAAAAAAAACCAACGTAAAAAGAAATGCCTTCAGGGATCCCTCTGCACGTCTGTGCAAGCTGAGGGGGTAGTTTCCAAGCCACGCAGCACCGCCTGGCCAGAACAGGCTCCCAACTCAAGAAAAGTAAAAGAAAGCAAACAAACAATTCAAAACAAACAAACGAACAAAAGCCCCGGGATCCCACCAGCATGGCAGCCCAGACCAGGAAGCAGCTCCACACTCGAACGGAGTTCCGCAGCCCCTCAGGAAGAATCAAAGATGGCGCACAGAGCCAGGTATTTGAGCAAAGGGAGGGGGAGGTGGTGAGAGGTAAGGAAGAA